GGTTAACAGGGATATTAGGGTTCATTAATGTATGCATTCATGTAAGTACATCCTGACTACAGAGGGCAAAACACAATAATACAATCTGAAAATAAGTGCTGATAAAAAAACCCCCAAAATACTGTCAAATACTGTTGTTAGAGTAACTTACTGACATTGATACTGGTAATTAATTGGGGAGTGGGGAGAGTGATGGAAGCAGTAAAGCTTGAAATATGTGTTTTGGAGGTGGGCAAACCAGATCATGTTAGGAATAATTTTTTCTTGGCTAAACACCGCATTTCTGTACTATTTCTCTCTCTCACTTGTAGGCTTCCATATCCTTTCTTACGTACAGCACCATTTTAATACCCTTTGCATACTATCTGTATACTGTCAACCCACAGAATATGATTTTCTAGGGTTACCTTGACAAACTCCATAATGAAATCAGCAGAACATTGGAAAAGATCCATAGCAGGGAAAAGTACATCAACAATCAGTTGGAGCACTTGGTTCAAGAGTACCGTTCAGCACAAGCCTTGCTGAGTGAGGTAATGCTCTGATCTTTTGTTGTTGCCTTCTCTAGTACTCCCTTGCTATTAAGTGGGGGTGAAGGCAAAGAAGACTCGGAGGAGTTATCTGTGAATTCTGCTGCTGGGTATAAAGCAGGGGAAATGTTGATTGGCTGTCAAATGATACAGTTTTTAAGCTAAACTAGCAATTTTATTCAGCTACTCTACAGGGGAAAGTAAATGTTTTTTGCCTGAATATTATGTAAATCTGTTGCCAATCTTGAGCAGCTAGTAAATTGCTAGTTCTGCTTTCCCTGTGAAGTTCACACATCTGCGACGAGTGGAAAAACTACAGTCTCAGTCCAGCACTCATCTCTCATATTGATTACTCGTGCTAATGTGCACAAAGCGCTCTGATTACTTCTTCACTTCGTTTAGTTTTTATGCCAATAGAGTGCTGTTTGCGAAGCTTTTTGATCCCCTGGTTAGGAGGCCTGTATGAGCTGCCATTTGGCTAGTCCTCCTGTTTGTGGGCATGACGTTAAAATGAGGCTAACAGGATTTGACCTCTGTGCTTTCTGTTTACCTTAAACTTTAAGAAACTTCCAAGATAGTAATTTATTGCTGATGAAGAAGTATCTTGGGTTTCAGGATTCAGTTCTGTCTGCATTCTGGCAAATTTTATTTCCTCACGTAAATGATTAGAAAGCATACTACTTGTTGTGTATGTATTAGGGCTATTATAATTTTTAAAACTGCTTTAAATTTTTGAATGATAGTCATTACAGGGGCTGATGTTTCAAGCCTGTCCTCCTATGTGTAGCGCTGTAAATGTCGTTGGGACTTTGTGGGAGAGTTTCTGGAATTGGGACGTGTGAGAGCAAGTTTGGGTGTTCTCTCTGAGTTATCTGCATACATCTCTTCAGCTTTGTCATTGCAGCAAAAAACCATGTTTCTTTCCAGGCTAAAGAGAAGTACCAGGAGGGAAGTGGAGGAGTAACTGAAAGAATTAAAGTGCTTTCTGAGGTAAAACACATCTTCACATAATTTCTTTTGCTTATTTTAAAACAATCTTCAGAGAGTTGACATTTAGCATTTGTGGTTTTATGAACCCAGTTCTTTCTGATGTGTTTTCTAGTTTGTTTAGTGGAGGCGATCTAGTCCAGTCCCTAAATGTTAAACCCAGGCTGCTGTTGAGTTTTTAACTTGTGAATTTTGTCAAACTACTGTGAGCTCTTCATTTCCCCAGTTTGTAAAAGAGGGTAAATGTTCTGCATTTTATAACCTGTGTCCTATAATTATTGAGGATTAATCAAGTCATGTCCTTAAGATTAACTCTTAATTTTTAGCTAAAATTAACAATTTGGAATTTTCATCTTCCAAGAACTTAAAAGCAATATTTGACTAAAGAGTAACTTCGCCCATACCAGTCAAATTATCTTAATACCTAGAACTGTTTTTCTGTTGGTTTTTTTTTCCTTTAAATTACTACTCTGACAACTTTAAAGAATAATCCCCAGACTCCTATCTGCGTCAACATGTTGAGTGTTTTGTGGCATTTCATTTAGAATTACTTCCTGATTTCCAAATATTTCAACCCTTTGTCCAATTCAGAATTTTTTTTTTTTATGGCTCTGTTGTTTGGGTTTGAAACACCCACTTTATTCCAGACACTTTGTCATTTAATAAGTAGTCACAAAAAATAGATCACACCATAAGAATGTGCTGGAAACTGTAAGACATGTTTGAGGTGTTGGAAGGGACCTACAACGATCATCTAGTCCAACTGTAGTCCAACTTGTTCAGCCTGAAGAAGACTGAGAGGGGACCTTACCAACACGTACAAATATCTTAAGGGCGGAAGTCACGAGGATGGAAGCAGTCTGTTTGCAGTGGTGTCCAGCGACAGGACTAGGGGCAATGGGTGCAAACTGAAACATAAGAGGTTTCAGTTGAATATGAGGAAAAACTTCTTTACTCTAAGGGTGACAGAGCACTGGAACAGGCTGCCCAGGGAGGTTGTGGAGTCTCCTTCTCTGGAGATATTCAAAGCCCGCCTGGACAAAGTCCTGTGTAGAATGCTCTAGGAGAGCCTGCTTTAGCAGGGGGGTTGGACTAGATGATCTCCCGAGGTCCCTTCTAACCCTTGCGATTCTGTGGTTCTGTAGTAGGTAATACAACAGTTTAACGAGAGTTTCCTGCCAAAGATTTCTGAGTGTATGGATTCTGCAGAATTAAGAGCTTCTTTCTATTTCACTCTCAAGGAAGTAAGCTTGAAAAAGAGAGTACTTTATGACGACTTCAGATTTATAATGTGTTTGGGCTTTGGAAGTTACTGACTGGTTGGTAATGACGAATATGTTACTAGTTGGCAGCCTTCGAACTATGTAGATGCAGTGGTGCGTATCTGAGACAAACTAGGCACACTGGATATTACTACTGATCTGCCTTCAAGCATGCAATCCAATCTCAGCCCACTTAGCGACACCAGTACCACTGTAGGTATGCATTAACTATGCAGTGATGTTTCTTTTTTGTTACTGAAAAGCCTCACTGAAGCCTTAAAGAAGGGCCATTTTTATATTCTAGACAACAATACTAAATTATTACCTAGACTGTACCTTAGAATCATATATTTGCTTTTTCTTCATGGTTTACAAAGGCAAACCGGTCAATAGTCAGTGCTGAAACGCACTTCTATTCTTCATACACGCATTTTACGTACCTATACCTGCGCCAGTGTCAGTAGGCTTGACTGCTGCGCCATCTTTTGCTGCAGTGCTGTTTCTCAGGTTCCCACCATCACCTGCTGCGGTCCTGACACTTCCAGAAGCGTAGCTGGCATGGTCATTTGGTGAATCTTGGTCTGCAGGGGTATTGGTTCCCGTCTTCCACCCAGCATCATACTGTAAACTCTTACACTGTTGTTTTTATTGTTTTGGGATGCGCTAATTCTTAGTAAAGCCATGCTGTTTGGCCAACTTGTTATTCTTTTTGCTGTAGTTTTTACATTAATCTATTTAAAGTTAAATAAAAACTTTCTTAATGTTTGAAAAAAATGTTCCTCTGTACACAACTAAGACAGGTTAGTTCATTTTTTTAAATTAATGCACTTACTCAGCAGAGAATTTTTCTGTTTTCTTTTTTTATCTTGACACTTCATCTGGTTTAATTAAGAAAAAATATCTATTTTAAGATTACAGAAGTGCTAGAGAGAGTAAAGCAGGAAACAGAAGAGAAAGGAAGCAGTATGACTGATGGTGGTAAGTATGTTTTGTTTGTGACAGGTGAATGATTTTTCTGCTATTAAAGAAAAATAAAACAAGACCAGAATGAATGACTAGTCTAAAATATCAATATTAAAATTTTAAAAGGCATCTAAGAAAATCAGGAGCCTAAACATCTTTGAAAAGGTTACATAAGTCTGCAGAAGGTGGGGATTCCAGGATTTTCCCCTTTGGTAAATTATTTGTAAAACTCTATTAAAAAAAAAAAAAGGTTTTGTCTCTGCTTTGAATAGCTATCGACTCACTGGAAGAAATTCGCACGTTACAGGTTCAAGCCCTGAAATAGTTACTGGCAGTAGCTGTTAGGTTCCTTAAGGCTGGCTGGAGTCAGGAGAAAATTCATTTTCGTGTTTTGATGTTTGGACTTTTAATACTTAAAACTACATACCTATTTGAATTAATTTGTCTCAGACTTGGGATTTGGTGTTTTGAGATTTTTCCTGATAAATGCATTCTGTTGCAAATATATAAGGAGCACAAATGCAGAAATAAATCGATGCATGTTACAGTAGGGCTAAATGTGCAAGCTGTATGCATATGTATCTGTAACCATTACAGTTAATTTACTTAAGTAGTTTTAAGTAATATTGTGTGAATAAATTTTGTGCACTCTTGCTTCACTATGAAGGAGCTACTCTTGTGCCTTGCAGCACCTCTTCCGTATTATGGCATTGCCAAGGGTCAGGGTAAACTCTAGAGTCCAGAATTACAAGAAGCAGCATGATGCCGCAGCAGCATCATCCCTAGGGTGATATGATTGGGAAGCAAGGGATTAGAAACAAAGTATGGAGCACAAAACATTTCAGTTCTCTACCAAACCCCAAGTCAGCTATCAGGATGAGGCTTTCAGCTGAGCAAAACACATCATTGACAAACCTATCTTAATGCTGATGCACATCTTTATGCATATCTTAGATGTCAAGAAGACAGCAAAATTGTCATCGCCTATTTCTATCATTAAAGTGTCTTGCATATTAAAAATGATGTATCAGTACAATCAAGTCTTTTAGAGTAGAACGCCCTTTTGTTCATTCAACTCTTCAATTTTAAGGAGTGAATTATAGAAAATAATGCTTTTGTGTTAAGTAGCTGACACAGAGTTGCACTGTTTATCTTTTTTTGAACAGCTCCTCTTGTGAAGATTAAACAGGCCTTAACGAAATTGAAGCAAGAAACCATTCAGATGGACATACAAATTGGTGTAATGGAACACACGTTACTCCAGTCAAAGCTGAAAGAGAAATCCAATATGACTAGAGATATGCATGCAACAATGATTCCAGAAGCCACAGTAGGTGTCTATTAAAATCATTTGGAGCTGACTTGGTTTGCACAAATTACAGTTTTCTACCATTTGCTTTTTTGTTAGTTTAGAGGCTCCTTTTTGTTGAGGAAGGGGGGGCATTAATTTTTCTCTTTTGTTTCTAAGAAGATGCTTGTCATGCACTCTTAAGAAGTAACATGCACGCTTTGAACTCAGCATGGAGTCACATTTAGTTTTGTGCTGTAAAAATTTACTGCGGATCCCTTCCAGATATACCAATAAATTTTTATTAGTGAACACGTCTCTACTTCATTGGAGAATGTTATATAGTGTGAAAGTCTATAGAATGATACTGACAGCCTGTAATCTTGATATTCTACAGTGCTGAAAGAAAATTGCTTGCAAAGGACTTGAAATGAATTTTAAATGTCTAAAATTGCCATGTACGTACATTTAATCTGAAGTATTTAATTGCTGATACTGAAATAATACAGCATTATCCTTTCTAAAAGGCTGGGTTAAAATTGATTTCAGCTGCAAGTAAAAGTAAATTGTTGCTTCCACTTGAGGAATTAAGCAAAGAACTAATGTTGCAATAGTTGCAATAATACTGGAATGCTCCTTGGGCAGCCCTACACAAATATGTGAATGGACAACCACTGTGTGTAGACAACCATTATATTTTATTTTTTCTTTGGAGTGATTCTCTAGACAGACTACTATGGATTTTTTTCATTTATTTATTTTTATTTTTATATTGCCTGTAACAGAAGCAATGATAATGAGATCTATACAAGACCAGAGAATGTGGAAAGCATTGTTTGGAAATTACTTTTGGCTTTCTAATTTATTTTTTTTTTATGTCATCACTGTTTCAGAGTCACTTATATTAGCATTGGGTCAAATGCTGCTTTCATTATAGTATGTAGCAGAGCCCTGCAGACATCATCTGGATTATTCTTGTTTTCTGTTCTTGTGTCAGGACACCTAGTTTTGATCTCTGTTAAGGAAAAATGTTGCCAAATCTAGTTGTGTACTATGGAATGAGAAGAATGTAGGAGGAAGGGGTTGGAAATGTAATGGCAACAGGGAGCTCCCTTTGTCTCAGTAAACGTGTAGGTAGGGAGTGATTGTAGACGTCATAAGTAATGAAGGAACATGGAACACAGACATAATCTTATTAAAGTACTAGTACATCCTTTTGGTTACCATTGCTCACAAGCCGTGGAGAATATTGGTACAATTCCAGTGATATAAAAATCCTCCCCTAACTTCTGTAGGTAATTCCATTCATTTTACTCTTAATTTCTCTCACTTAAAGGTGAGCAGTTTTCTGCAGAATCAGTGGATCTGTTCTGTCTCCAAAAGTCAAGACACTTGACACAGTCAGTACCATGAGCCAGCTTCTTAACTTCGTTGTGCTTCAGTATTTCATTTGCCAAAAAGAAAAAGCCCCTAACCCATCAGATCTTAATAAGTGAAAAGCTATATGTAAATGCCAGCTATTATAATTTACCTGTGCAAGCAACTGCTGAAAAAATCCATGAATCACACGGGAAATCGGTTTCCAACTTCTTTTGCTGCCTACCTATATCCTCCCACGTTCAGCTTAAATTAGAAAAGTTATTATTCATGTTCCCTTTGTTAGGTGGTGTTGCTGCTGCATGTTTACTTTAACAGTGCGTTTACTTCAATTTAAGATAAAAGCAGTCCCCTTCTGCATCGCCTGCAAAGCAGGTCACTGAGGCTTTTGGATTGCAAATGTAAATGCTGTTTGTGTAAATACTTTCCCCAAAAAACTCCTCCTTCATGCTAATATGACAAACAAAATTAATCAAAACCCTGCCCTTATGAATCAAGCCTCTTATTCTATTAGAAGTGAATCTATTGAGACAAGCATGGTCAAACCCCCTCTAATGTAGTAGAAAAATCCCCAGAAGAAAAGCTAGCTTCCTTTAAGACAAATTAATTCTAACATAGTGTGCTAATTATATGTAATTAATCTACATTATTTTTCATGGTACTGCCTAAACTGTATTAATCTGAGCAGGACACTTCTGTTGTTGTCTCGAGTGATACGTGGCCCTTAATTGTCATCTGGCAAAGAATGGCATTTGCCCATTTAAATAGTAAAACCACTCGACCCTGCTTTGAAAGCAGTCTTGCTGCTCCAGCAAGTGGCCACACCACCTTCCTTAAAAGCATGAGGAGAGCAATGAGGTCTGTCACAAGCAGCCTGAAAGGCTGTTCTAGAAGAAGCAATTATCTGTGTAATTATTCCGCTACTGGATCAATGCAGGAAGCAGAAGCCACATTAAAATGAAATCACTTGATTCACACTATTTCATACATTGCTCATTACCTAATGCAGTGTCAGAACTGAAGCAACAAAACGAAGGTGTCCCTAAGTAGGATGCACGTGAAGCTGTGCTGTGGTTTAAAACAGTCTCTCTTCTTCTGAAGAATACTTGGGGCAGAAGGACTATTGGTAAGAGTTAACTTTTATATACAGCTCTCCTCTTCCCAGGGCCTTTGCTGTTTTCACTCTTCTGAAATAACACCAGCATGGAGGCAGGGTGTCACTGTTAGATGTCATCTAGAAGCCAAACAGAAGCTAGCTGTAGACAGATCCAGAAGTAGCGCAGAGGGACAAACAAGGAGTTTCATTTGCTGAATCGGGTCAGAGAAGCCACGGGTTTTGTCCTTGCTGTGAGGACTGCAATAGCTCAGCCTAGTACGTGGCCCCAGGGAGAGCTGAGACTTGGCTCCTGGAAATGTGTGGCTGAGGAAGGCTCACCAGTAGCCAGCTCATTCTCCTGCCTGCACTCCCCAAGGCTCCAGGAAAGGAACACTAGCATCGTGCTACTTCCTAGGGGGTCTGCAGCTCTGAAATCCCTCTGAACTTCGTAATATGACTCAATGTCTTACTTCTCCAGGCTGTCTTATCCCCAGGCTAGGATGTAATTGATGCAAGTGACTTGCTAGGAATGGGAAGTAGCCTTAGTGCTTGCTGCCGTATAGAGGTGCTGCTTATGGGCCATTTAGGATGTTATATTTATTAAAGTAAGAGGGTAATGCATGTTATATTCCAATCCCCATTCTCTTCTAATGTCAGCAGCCAGCATGATTTACCGAATATTATGTGCGTGCGGGTAAAAAGTGCAAAGTAAGGGCTGGATTTTTACCTCTTAATGCAATTCTCACATAGGCAACTTTCTGTGGAGTTGATGACTTAATACTAAAATTGCAACACTTTATCGGTGGCTTTCAATCACATGGCAAGAATTTGGTATTCCGGTAATGACAGAGGGTTAACCATTTGAACTTGCATCGGTGAGTGCTGTGCAGGCAGGTGAGAATTCAGGTTCACGTGAGTCTGAGAAGCCATTAATTGTTACAAACAATTCCCAGGTCTGGTCAAAATATTCTCACTCTCTTCTGCTGATGGCATTAAAGGCTTTCCCCGCTTCCCCCACCTGGAAGAGAGGAACTTCAGGGAAGATTGTTTCTTGAAAAGGAAAACAAATGCCCACCTACTATTAAACTCTGCCACTTTTTTGGAGTATAGCTCTGCTGTGCGCATACAATTTTGTGACATGCAAAAAAAATCCCCATATTGCTAATTGTAAGTTATAGTAAAAGCAATTAAGTCATCTGTGCATGACCTATAAAAAAGACTAGGCATAAATGAAGGGCCCATATGTGAACATTTCCAGCTTCTGAGCTCTTTGAATTTTGCGTCCAAATTTTGGAGCCTGGGCTTTTCTCCAAGTTTGACAAACGTTAATTAAAAAAAAAAAAAAATAGCTCGATGTTGTTTCTGTTCACGCTGGCTCTCAGCCTGCTCCCTGAATGTCGGCGCTGCGGCGTGCCTCCACTAGGCAGCTGCGCGGGCAGGTGCGCATGCGGTGTGCGTGCTCCTGCCTGCCCTTTGGCCAAAGCCAGCAGTAGGCTTCGGCGGTGTAACAACATGCCCTGACCCAGTTCCCACAGTGTCACTGCTTTCCACTTTCCTGTTGATGTATTAACGTTTTAGGAAGCAGCTGGGTGTTTTCTGACAAAAGCATTAAATAAAACTTAGGAATTAACCTGGCCTGTGACATCAGCGTCCATGAGTTCCAGTAAACAAAAGAGAGAGCTCGTGCTTTTCCACATGAATACTGTTCATAGGTGGGGAGTTTCCACATGAGGCTATGAGATTGCAACAGTTATTTTTTGTCAGCCATTTCCTCCTTTTCAGCCTGTTTCTCCCTTCAGCAAATGCCATTACCAGGGCTTTCTCGGATATTAGATAATACTTCGCTATTGCTCCAGGGCTTGGTGTTGCTGGAACCGTCTGTCTTTCAGCCGCCTAGCAACAGCCCTACCATTTTGCAAACAATTATTCCCAGGCAACACTGGTATGAGCAGCGTTGAGAGCTTTTTACTGAGAGTAAATAACAATGTGAATAATGCTAATCTTTCACTTACTGGCTGGTTTTACTCTGTTCTTTCCCGTTCCTGGTCAGTCCTCCTCAGTGCTCCGTCCCAGAAGTGGCTGAGACATGCTAGTCACTCACATGTCTTAGCTACCTGTTGTAAAAATCAACAAAGATGAATATTTTAAGGTCAGAAGTACAGAATAATTATGTCTAATAATATTCCTTGATGACTCACTAATTGCAGTTGTTCATTCAAAATATTTTTCCCGTTTCCGTGGCTTTCAGAAGGATGGCAATACTTCAAACATCTTAGTATTATTCAGCAGTAACATGAAGAATTAAGCTGCAGGTTGTAGGCATCCCCTGGACCATAAGTTTCCCATCCCTCCTCTAGTTTTAGGGCTGAAGTTTTCTCACTGTATCTTGGGAGGGGGGCTCTTGTAAGGTTTTCGAGGGTTCTCTTGGTCCTTCTCTCAGCATTGCCGGTCCATGAGCACGTTACCTCCTTTCAAAGAACCGATGTGGAAAAGAATACAAGTGAGTAGTCAGACCAAGGGAGACAGGCTGTTTGTGAAATTTTGCTGGAAACTAGTGCCAAATAGTGATGCAGAAGGTTTTAAGAGGTTCAACAGCATCTGCTGATCATTGTTTCCTTTGTAATAGGAAATGTGCAAGTTCCCAGTATGATGGCAGGAGGGATTTCTGCTGAGTTTGGCAAATGCTATCAAACAGCAGTAAAAACAACGAAAACTCAGTGACCTTAAGAGTGTTATTCATTAATTTTGTACTGATCAGTCTAGCAGCCATTTCATTACAGCCTTCTGTAGAGTGCCCATATTATAAGCTCAAGTCAAACATACTTGAAGGTTTTCATCATCTTTAGCTGTATCACACTGGCAATAAAAAATAAAAAAATGTTGTTCTAAGAAGACATTGTTCCTGGGGCAGAAAGGTATATGCTAGATGTGGCAGTTTGGCAGGTATGGAGAGGGTTTTTTTGCTATAAGTACTCCAGTACTCTGACATTTCTGTTTGAGTAAGAACGTACTTAATGCTCTTGTTTGGGTTTGTGAGATCTCCGTTGAAAAACAGAATTGCAGGCAACTGTGTTAGAGAAGATGAACAACTGGAAGTCAATTACATTTCCTCTCAGTTGTGAACAGGATTGATATACAGGTAACAAATTCAAATGGGTAGAATGAAAAAGCTTCCTTTAAAAAGTTCTTCCATAATAATCTTCGCTTAAATACAGAAAACATGCCTTCACTTAGTTACACACCCTTCATTGCTTCTAGCTAGTCCTCATCCCTCTCAGATGCACAGCTTACTCCTCTGCAATGAGGTTTCCCTCCAAATACTTGGAAATTTGACAACATGGCCTGAATAGAAATTATGCAGTCAGTCTGCCGGAACTGCTGCTAACCTTGGTGGAAACTACCTGGTGCGTCTCTGTAGAGTGCCATGCGTAAGCAACCACTGCCAGGAGGGCTGCCGACATCAATTCAGTGTGGATGTCAAGAGGAGAACAGAAGCAGGAAGCCGGCCCCACCTATACTGTCAGATAAACCTTAGCTTCTCTGCAGAGTATGTAAGAAAACCCTGTGGAAGGCCAGGCAGACCAAATTTGCTATTACAGCTACATACAGAAGGAAGGTGAACACCGTGGTGCTGGCCACCCTTCTGCTAAAAGCAGCTAATCACGACTCAGTGTCTCATTGATTGCGCCAATCAGGGGGAGGAGGAAGCGGTGATGAAGCCAGGCGGTCACTTCTCCGCCCAGAATGAATCAAATAAAAACCACGCAGAAAATAAAACACACAAGCTGCTCCCAAATTCAAGGCTTTTCCTGGTAGACTTGATCTCTTTGGCTTGTTCTTGGGGTCAGGCTAAACATTCTTCTGAGTCAGGATTAGCTTTCCTACCTCACCTGTTTTTTTTTCAGATCTGCACCACCTCTCTCTTCATACACTGTAACGTTTATGCTAGAAGCCTCAGAACTCTGGGTGGATCTGCTTATCTCTTTATCTGGAGGAGAGGCATCTTTGTGTTGCAGCTTTCAAAACCCTCCTATTTCAACGACCTGCTTCCACAAAGAAACTTCCTTCTTATCTGCATCTTTAAGAGCTGTATGGATACCCAGAGTTTCAAAGCAGCTTAACTTGACCTTTATCGGCATCAGGTTTGTCTAGGAGGAGGGAACCTTTCATCTGTGAAAAAGAGATGTTCTCTCCAGGGGTGGAAGAAAAGGAGAAGTGTGAGAAGATTTGTCCACAGGATGCAGCCTTTACAAAGCTGTAATATTCCCTGTAGGTTCCAGATTTTTCTCCCATGAACACATGTGGTGGGGCGTCTATAAACAGTTGAATTTGCCATTCCTGATTTTAGCAGAGTGACCCCAACATAAAGCTTCAAGACTACAGCAATGAACAGGACCCATAGCATACAGAAGGATCTCTCCCTGGACAACAGTGAACTAAGTCTGCATCTGAGAAGAAACATGGCATTTATTTTTTAGTTACTCTGAAGACAAAATACCATTTTTATCAGTGAGGGACCTTCTGACAAGCAGAAGACAGAGCTTTGCTGTGATGCAGAAAATGCAACCACGGTAAAGGGCTATGAAGTCTTTTTATGACATTCCATTTTACATTTCACCCCAGAGGATGCTGATACCTCCTTTTCACTGTCTTAAGCATGCTAGCGCCATTGTACAGATCTTAATCTTTAAACCGTGCTTTGGCAAATGTATCCTTTGTGGCACTTCTGCAATCGATTATGCTTTACTCAGTGCCATAATTGTTTACAACTCACCACAGTCTTCCACTGGGTGAAAACACATTTATGACAGACAATGGTGCCAGTGCTGATCTGTTCTTATTGGCCATTTGAAAACAAAAGCCAGACAAAAAGGCATCTGTTTTCAGCGGCTGGTCAGGTTAGTACTGGAAGTCACTTCTTGGTGCTTTTCACCCTGTCTTGGAATACAGCTGCCAGCGCTCAGGGTCCCCTTTCATTCAGGACCGCCTCCCTAGAAGTCTCCTGGTGGACTCGGTTTGGGGCTAATTCTAGCACTGACCTCGCCTTTCCCAGGCTGTGCAGGGGAGTTTTTGCACTGAGTCATTAGAACCCTACAAATGGCTTATACAGTTAAAAGAGCCAAGAGTGTCAAAATGAGTCATATTTTTCAAGTGGCAATTGCTATTTTGAGTGATTGTTTCCCATTACATTTACCAGGACACACAGGAACCAACGGTGTCTAAGCTTACCTGCTGATATCTGTTCCCACCACAGGAGCAGCTAGGGCAGTCATATCACACATGTCACTGAGCCACACCTTGCTTTTCCCCAGAAATCACCTTCCCGGGCACTGACGTCACCCTGTCAGGGGGAAGTGACTGCGAGTTTCTGTGAAAAGTTGCTTCCGGTAAAGAAGGTCACTGCTCTTAGTGGCCAGCCCAAATTGCAGACCCAGTGCCTCTGCCTTGGAGAGAACCAAAAAAGGAACTGAGACCTTGTGGGCATCTGCAACAGTATTAGTGTGCAGAGTGAAGAAAGGCAAGGTTAAGGTCATCGTCATTGTGATCACTCCCAGGGACGACGGACTGGGAGGACAAAAAGCTGGTGAACACAAGGAAATGATTGGACACAGCCATGCAGACAAACAATCCCAAAAAACAAACAGGAGGCTCCATCACCGGAAAACGGGTCTGTAGCTGGATGAGGCAGTTTCTGCGATGTCACGGGGCAGAAGGCAGCTGCAATTGCACAGGAAGCCAGCAAGGAAGCAAAAGCACTGGAGCAAGTGTATTTGCTATGAGAGTGAGCAGCAAGAGAAAAGCACAGTCGACAGGAAAAAGGAGCAGCTGGCTTAAAGGAAGAGGGGAAAAGAGGTGTTGAAGGTGGGGAGAACAGTCCGGTATGAAATGAGAGTTCGCTACAGCCTTAACATAAGCTAACATAAGTCACTGTACATTCCCCCCTGCACACCTGCACGCACAAACACCCCAAACAAACCAACCGACCTTATGTTTACCAGAACTACCTTTGGTGTCCAAAATCCACAAGAAGAAATCATAGGAGATAAGGAGAGGTGAAAAAACAGGGGGAAGTCAAAATGTTAGGTGAGGACAGAGGCTAAGTGACTTCAGAAACAGATACCCAAGGAAAGGAAATTATAAACAGAAGGAGAAGAGGAGGGGCGAGGAGGAGGAAGGCAGAGCCCAGTATGCCGAATATGCTGAAATAATGCTGGGTTTCTCACAGACCTCCTTTCTTAGGAGCTCTTCCAGTTCTCGCCTCTGAATAGCTGGAGCTGTTCTGCTGCTGCGCAGGGAGACACTACATCGTCTGCTGCAGCCACAAAGAAACAGTTAAGCACAGTGTAAACTGTTGCAGGAGTACAAGCAAGACTCTAACAGCTACAAGTGGATGAAATGGTCCTCTTTGGCTACTACCTTGAGAAGAAAGGGTAAAAAAATTCTTACCTTAACCCTTTCCCGGGCACTACATTTTCCCTCTTGCTTTTTTCCCCCTCCCTCTTTGGAAATGAACTGCATTTATTTGCTGTTATTTGCTAGATAAACAGGATTTCATTCTAGAGTGTTGTATGTTCAATATAATTTTTACAAGCCATAGGGAAGTTTCAAACAAAACTAAAGCCATTTTACAGTTTTTTTCAGTTCACCAGTGGTAATTCCAGTGGAGTTTCTGTTGAACACTTCCTTTTTTTTTTTTTTCTCCTGTTTACAAGTTCAAATTTGGTGTCAAAGGGCAGAACCCACAATTATCACTTCAGGCAACTTTAAGGGCACTTATATTTAAATAAAACTTAGTTGGAAAAACATCCATTGGAGACCTGTTCCTTGAGGAGAGCCATAAGCTGAATTTCAGGTTGCCTCATATAACTCCAAAGGTAACTTTTTCCTTGTTTCTTCTTTGCCCCTACTCCAAACTGAAGACTTGTGATGACGAGCTGGTTGAAAATACTCCTGTGTAACCACATGCAGGTGGAAAAAATGCCCAGATGATGAGGCCAAAATGCTTTACTTGAAACAAGCCAGTTGCTGAGCTCAAGCTAGGGTTCAGCTGGAATGCTGCCTGTGTCCCTGGCATCCTGCCCCACACCGACCGCACGTCTCCATGCCCTGGGCCTGGGCCAGTCTGCCTGGGAGTATTCCTGGCTCCACAAAGACCCACCAAGCTGGAGATGGCAATGCCTCGCAGACTGCCTATTCTGGCTCTGAAAGCCTCGTAAGCCCCAGCTTCAACAGCTGCTTGGCTGTGCAGCTCGGCGTTGGGATGAAGCCTGCCTGGAGATGCAGCACTCTGCCGGCAGTCACGGCAGGAAAAAGCAAATGTACAGCCCTGGGATGGCAGCTTTACTGCTGATCTACAAGCTGATCTAACAAGAAGCTGTGGTGGGTGGGTGCAGTTGTCTATCTCGTTTCCTCATCCGCACCTTTCTGCCACTTCCCCTGCATGAGTTGCTAATGAACAGCAGTATGATGAGCCTGAACAGCTCACGGATCAGCCCGAAAACTAATCCCGTAGGATCCCCCTCTGCCCGCCCAACCCACGCCTCTGCAGCCCCTTGGGAAGACACAGAATGGATCCCACCTCCACCTCACAAAAGCTTTTAATTTCAAGAAAGAGTATGTTCATTGCCCCCCGCCCCCCTCTGGACTCTCTTGACTTCAGTTTTCCAAAAGACCTTCATGGTTAAATTAAATATTGGACAAGAGAATGGCAGAATGCCAGCCACTTCATCTCGTAATATTATAATAATAAAGATCTCATAATATTATTACCCTTTTATACTCATTTTGGCCTTTTCCTTATTGTCTTGGAACATCTGCTTTGTCCTTCATTGATTTTATTCTTAATAATAGCATTACCCTGAAACACAGGCTAGAGTGAAGCTCATGCACATAACCGTACGAGAAGACAGAGCAATCACATTGCTTTTCGGTGCTTTTCAGTGTCGTATCTGTTGTCTTTGGTGGAAGTTGCACCTCTTTGCTCTCTCTCTCCATTGTGGGCTGTAATATATGCAGAAACCAGGAGCTCAGGGACTATGAGCTAGAAAAGACCGGAGGCTGAGGAAGCAAGAAAGTGAGAACTGCTGCATACGCTTGCCCTCTTTCCCAGGCATCCGTGTCTGGGCGCTGTCGTTGCAGGACATGGGACTAAACTGCTCCTAGGGCAGACCCAGCACAGGCAGTTTCATATATTATACCACGCCTGAATTTGGCTGTGGGAAGTGGTAAGAATTAAAACCTGAATCTCATGGAAATTTTGCCATTGACTGAAGCTTTGTGATTAGAAAATTAGACCCCGTCACAAATCATATCGCGTACTCACTGGGGAAACATTCCTCAGTCAGTTCCATTTCCCTGTTCCAGTGGCTTTATGCGCTATTCATAACGCTGTATAGAAATGGCATACATGACATTACATGCACATAAAAGTTCCTCTAAAAAATCGAAACACTTGCTAATCTCGTGGGGACATCGTGCTAAAAGTGGTGTATCCATCAAAAGAAAACCAAATTCCATCCCAAGCAAGCTCATCAAGAAAACATACACAATATGCAGCCATTTTACAGCTGCCAAAGGAGATCAGTCTAATTTCTTTTTTTAGCTAGAAGGGGAAATCTAACCAGGCAAAGCAGGTTGGGAGCCAAGAAGACTATTTAAAAAGAAAAAAAAAAAAAAAAAAGGAGAGAAGTAGACAGCATCCACAATTTCATCCAATGGCAGAAGAGTTTGTCAGTGAAATGTATGCACTGGGCCAAGTGAAGTAGTGGTGACATTAATGTGGCTGTCAGTCAGTGAATTTGTTGGAGGGTTGTTTGCAGTCCTGGGAACTAGAGCTACAGAAAACATTTTGTGCAGTTCTGTTTCTGGTATTCCTCTGTCCTTATCTCTCCCATTCTCCGTCCCCTTCTCAGTCCTCCTCCATACAACAACTGGTTGCATGCTAACAATATTTCTCTTTGTGCCTGTGCAAATACCATTAGATCCAAGCATATCCCGTGGAATTTGAGGTTATCATCTGTTCACATGTGATGGGTAGTCAACAACTTCCACAGAACAGCCATTCTCCTCACCCAGCTTTCATTTTCTTAAAAATATCTCAGGAATGGTTATGAATTGTTTAAACATTTTAAATTAATACCAAGAGAAGAAGCCCTCCCACTCACATCCCCAACTGCCCCCAACCCACGTGCCGTTAGAAACCCATTCAGCCCGAAGAGGGGCCAGATGTTAAAATCGTTTGGAAAAAGTGAGTATTTGGACTGTGGGCAGGGTGGCTGGATTACCCCACCCTGCCAGAGAATGAGAGCCGTCGGTTCCCTGAACGTAGCAGCTAAACCAAGAGGGAGGGAGGACAAGGGCTGCACAGTCCTTGCCTGGGGTTCTGCTAGGAAGCAGGGTGGAGAGGACACAGGTTCCTCTCGGGGATGGCATGGCTCCTGCATGACTCCAGGAGACTTTGTGCCTCAGGGATACACCTAGGAATTGAAGCTTTTCTGCTCTCTGGGAGAGGGCAATTAATGACGTACTCCCGGAATAAGCGACACCAGGAATGAGTGATCCACGCCCAGCTTTGGATCCCAATGCAAGTAGCCCTTAGAGACGCGATGGGGATATGCTTACATTTTTCTTGCTGGTGCAGTCACTCTTCAGGCCCACGTGGCTTCCAGTCACTTAATTAACCTCTTGGGACCTCAGTCACCGCCTCTGAACGGGGTGGTAGGTCCCTGGCTAGGTATTCCTCAGATGAGAGAAGCGGTGTTATTGTAACTACTACAGTACCATCCTGCTGCAAACGGACCGCTTGTGCTTGCTTACCTACCACAGGTTTAATCCGTGAGCATAAGAGTCTTATCTTTCCCAGCCTGGCTCTTCAGAGGAAGGCCCTTTGTTCCCAGCTAGGCTGAAAAATGGGGTTTAGCTTTATTTTCTCTGAGGGAAGCTTATGTGATTGTACTGTCTGTCATCTGTCTATGCCGATAAGTTTTTAACTGCCACAGCTGATTATAATTATTTCCAAAGAAAAAAATTGCTAGAGGCAGACCTCTCCATGATAATTGTATTTCTATGGATATTGTGAAATACAGCAGCAGGCTGGGTTGGGGCTAGGGAGGAGGAGGGAGAGGACAGAGTGCCAGACCACACTGAGAGCGTGCCATGTCGAGGAGGTCGGGGAGGCCTCAGCTGATCCTCAGCCCATCCTGGCCGAAGGCGGCCAGTCGGTCCACAGGTGCCAGCGACTCAGTCGGCACGAGTCAGTCGGCACAGGTGTCTCTCCAAATGGCCCACAAGAACGTACTGCCTCTTGCCCGTGGGTGTTATTTCATAGGGGACATCACTGCAGCTGCAGCTGCCATGGTGCAGTGGGGGAGCAGGCACAGACCTTCTTTCTGCCGGCTGTGATGGAAGGAAAAGCTTTTGTTGTTTTGATGCAGGCAGCGGCACTATTTTGCCCTGAGCCTGTACTTGCAGTTTGCAAGGCTTGGCTGGTGGCCTGGCTGGGCTTGGCTGGGAGGGACCTCCAGGGAGGACAGACTGGCTAAGCGCCAGGCAGGGTTAGAACATGTTCCATGCTGTAACTAATTGACCAGGGGCCACTAGGTCGCCGAAGGGACGAGTTGCGTGATGTTTCCCAGCAGCTACGGTGGCAGGTGAATAGGGAACGCAAAACCAAAATGGACATGCAAAAAAAAAATGTGTTCAAATACAGGAGTAGAAGGAGAGAGTAAGTGAGGAAGGGGAGAGGGGAGCATGAAAGAAGCACTATTTCCCTAAAGCAGTTAGTTTTGAAATGGAGGAAAAATGACTGCATTTTAGCCCTATCAAACAACTGTGGAAGGTTAGCGCTTTTGCACAGTGTTGCTTTATTTCTGACTAGGTCTCCGGCAACTATTACTCAAAGTTAATTAAGGCTTTGGTCTTCGGGAACATTTTGATGTGCTAGTGCTGAGAAGTCCATTAATATTTATAAATGTCACTTGAATCCCATTTTTACCCTCTTGCCCAAGCAGGATCTCTCAGAAGAAGAAATATTGTTGCTTTTCTTTTCTTCTTTTTCTCCTTTTTTTCTTTTTTTTTTTTTTTTAGAACTATAGTAAGTTCAGGGTTGAGCCTGTTCTAAAAATGTCATATTCTATAGAACTGTGATGTACAGCTTTGGTAGCCTGCCTGTGGCCCCCAGAGAGGCCTGAGAGTTCGATCTTAGGCCTGGAGAAATGGGTATGGAGTCTATTCTCAGCTCTGCCACTGGCTAATTGTGCAACCTCAGTCGGTTCATTTAACCTTGACAGGCCTCCGTTTCCAGGTCAAAAAAGAAAGAGTTAACAGACTCCTTTGCAAATGCTTTGTGGTGCTTGAGGAAGAACAAGGTGTTGCCCATCACGGGTCTGCTGCACTGTGACTGCTGGGCAGGGGTGGTTTCCATGAGCATTACGATACACACTACGCATGTCAAGTGAGTCCAGGAGGGCAGACGTAGGGCTGGCCGCTGCATTTCTTGCTGAGGGAGACAGCTCTCACAGCCAGTTGGACAAATCACAGCTGCAGACAGCCCTTGCTTAAGGCATGCAGGCTTTTATGTCACTCTTCGGCATTTTCCTGCCAGCCACAGCAGTCGCTGCCTCCTGTACGTTGGCATGTGTATGTGATTGAAGCCTGCTGCAGCTTCGCTTCTGCTGACCACGGATGGTGATCAATAGCACTCCAAAGAGCAGTAAACCAGTATAAAACGGCAGGTCAGCGCCGAGCAGTGGCAATAAAACAGTTGCCTAATTTAAAGACCCAAAAGTGCGCCTTGGAAGTCATAAATGAGGGACTCGTGTGGAGTTTTCAAAATGTATGACCTCTTGCTCTGGAGCACTTGGCCCCCACCATGCAAGTCAGAGATGGGTCTGTCCTTTTCACCGCTTCCGAGATGTGCTTCTGTGCAAGCTTCTAGAGTGTGTACGCACCGGGTGAAGAGAGACACGCAGAACCGCAGGGCAAAAAGAGACACGCAACGGTCACAGTGCTGCTAGAAATAGCAGCTGAAAGCGCACAGCTCTTCTATTACATCAGGGTTTGCTTTGCGTACCTGGCTCAGAAAGGAAAGCAGAACCTTTCTCTCAGTAGGAATCGGAAGCGTCAGGACTGCCTTGCGCTGCACAATCCTGCTTCCCGGAACCGTCAGCAAGCAGAGGCATTGCAGACCGTTCTCAGCAGCAGAAGGCAGAGCATTACAAGGCAAAGTATTGCAGGCGCACACCTGGCTAGATGGAAAAGCTACCACCAAAAAACCTGGGGAAACTGCATGCGCCGAGAGTTACCTTCTGGGGATTTGTGAAGCCTGGTTCAGTAGTATAGGAGATGGCACCTGACACGGAGGAACACTCTCTCGCGCAAGGCTGTATGTGATTTCCCATGTGCACCGTTTTGCTTTTAGGCTAGCGTGGGTGTTTTATGTGCTAGCTACCTTAGCAACAGCAACAAACGCGTGCCACAGCTGTAGCCATCTCCTCTGTGGAGCAGGAGTCAAGCACCCCCGGTTCCCTTACAGACGAGATGCTGTGCAGCTCCCCGACCCCGTCCCCCAGCGCCTGCCTGCGGCTCTCGATGCGCTGGCACTCAGTCTGGGCGCAGATGAGCGAGCTACAGCCCAAGCAGACATGCCTTCCCTACTACGCTCCGCTCCAGCCCATTTTCTTCTGGCCTCCAGAGAACATCATCCAAATCAGTCTGGCAGGAGCAGAATCAGCTGCCTCGTGCCAGCCCCCTCCTTCGTCTCTGGAGTCAGATGGCTCCTGCTGCTCAAGGCATTTTAACTTGACTGGGATGCTGGAGGATGTCCGAGTGCTTCATAAAAGTCTCCAGAAAATGAATCTGGTGGTCAAGGCATTGGTACCCATTCATCACGTAAAGGAGGGCTGGGGAAGGATTTAAGAGAAAAAAACCCCCACGTGTAGTAAAACCATGTGAGACATAAAAGATACAGAAATTCAGTTTCTTGCAGAATTTTGATTCTGCCCTGGCTTTCATCCTCTGTTCAACTTTGAGACTTGTAAAAGCAGTTTTTATACATACATATATATATATATACACACACACACATACAGGTACATATGTGTGTGTGTTCCCCACGTATTTTTAACAGTCTTTTTTTTTTTTAATGCTTCACCAACACAAACGCCTGAGAACAAAGTGCGCATTTAGGCTGCAGGTATTTATAGATCCAGGATTTTGACACAATTCTACCATGAAGAAAGAACAAGGAAGTCGTAAAGAGGGCTACCTCTGGAGGAAAAAAAAAAACCAAACCCAACAACCCAACCCTTTACTGAACCCCCCCGAAAGGGGTTTTTGACCGCGTTCGAAATCAATAAAGCGGTCGGGGAGCCGCCCTGTCAACCCTTCCCCTGTCGCTGGATTCGGCACCTCCTTCCCCCTCGCAGCCCCGGCCATCTTAATTCAGCCATTTTATTCAGCCGTTACTCCAAACACGACCTTGGACTGCGCCTGCCGTGAGAAACAAACCGCCACGGCCAGGGCGCGCAGGCGGGCGGGGGCAACACGGCCCGCGAAACAC